AATGGTATATGGCTGGCCACAACAGATTCTTCTGTACATAGATACCCAGCCGAAGCACGTGATTCTGTCAAAGTATTCCAAATAGGTAGTTCGTTTTATGCTGGCAATTTGTCGTTTTCAAGTGTCAGGGTTCACTAGAAGGTTCCACGCCTGTGAGTAACTTTTTTTTTGGCGGAACTAAATATTAGTTGCATGCATTTTTTCTTAAAAATCGTGTCCAGCTAATTTTCTGATTCAGTTAATTTTTTTTTCTATTAAAAAATTCAGATCCTATTATGACTCCAAGGTCTGCTGTATAAATTTGTTAGAAGGATTATTAGGCAAATAAAGCAATTGACCAAATCACGCATGTAGATAAAGGAGAATCACGTCCGCCTATAATAAAGGGAAACGGTTATGGAAAGATATCGTGATTAAATATTTGATTTATTATAAAAACAATTAATAAGGGTACTTATGTCTTATTATGTTTAATTGAGGGGGTTTCACTAATTAAGTTTGTGATGTGGGTTTGTGCAAAAGTCTTAAAAGTCAATCGGATTTTACTCATAATATTTTCCATTTGAGGTGATTGCATATTTCCCCTATAAATAATTGTATGTAGGAAAAGAACAATTGGGTGCCCAAGCCATCGAAATATATGATTTGTCTCTTATATGGGCCGGGTCAGGTTATTTAGGCCCATTTAAAATAGTCATTGGGCTTTAGACATTCATATAGTGACTTCTAATATAATTTAAATATTTAATATAAAATTAAATAAATAATGAAATGAAAAATAAAAAAATGATGAAAGCAAACCAAACGGTAGGCGTTAACACCCATGTCATCAGTCTCTCTCCTCAAAAGCTCAAACGTCGCCCCACCCCCACCCCACCCTTTTTAATACAAGACAAACCCAGAACAAGTGGTGTCAAACGTTAAACCCACCTCCCATCTCCACGTTATGCGCGTGTACGCCACTCTCTAGATCTGTCCGTTCGTTTCTTCGCATCGACGGTCGGTGTGCCGAGCGTGGTTATGTGAGAGTGGAGTTTATTAGAGCATTTTTAGCACGTATAATTGCCAACGAGGTGGTCGGAATACGTATCTGCTGCTTCTTTTTCTACTTTGAGCAGTGTGTAAATCTTGGTGGTCCTCTCAATTTATTGCATCCCACTTGGAGATTATTAATAACCCAATTTTAATCACATTTTAATTATTTTCCAATTTTCTTTTTTACTAACCAAGAAATCTTTAGCTTAGATGCATTCAGTAAACCTACACTTTCGTGTAATAATACGTAAACCATATCAGATATATGAACCACTATCGGTTAATCATGTGTGAAAATCCAAACCCAACTACTGCTGACAACGCGATTCGAACTTGGGCCAGTTGACACAAACTCTCTTGTTCTAATTGCTAATAAATAAGAGTATTCTGGTCTAACAATATTTAATTTCTTAAAATTCTTATACATTTATTGAAATTCTTAAGATTTGTGCAAACGATAGAGAATAAACAATACATGGAGTGTATAAAAACTTAAAAACTAAGTAATAACAATAATAAATAAAATAAATAGAGAAATAATATTTAATGAGCTATTATTCAAGTAATTAACATCTTTTTAATAGAGCTCTCATTGAATTGGGCTAAATAATTGGACCCTAATTTAGCTAGGTCCATCATTATGATTAGGCCATGAAAAGTCATTACAAGAAAATTGTTGGTCATTACTTAATAATATTTTGCATAAATTACGCTGACACCCTAGAGGTATTCTTAAATAATTTTAAGATTTCTGTGGTATCAATAATTACACTTACCCCCTTGAAACATAGATTGAAATTCTAATGGGATAATGCATTTGATACGTTATTTCTCAAGCATTCTGACGGACTATTATTTTTAGCTAGTGGTAAAGACAGTATAAAGTTATGGATGACATGGCTCCCCCAACATTTCTTAATCACTAATAGTTTTTTGTTGCCTCCACTGCTTCCTGAAACTAATAGTTCGTTAAAACTCTATCGGAATAATGTATCCAATGCATTATCCCTTTAGAGTTCCTAACAATGTTTCAGGGGGTGAATGTAATTATCGATACTATATGGACCTTAAAATTATTTAAACGTACATAAGGGGTGTGGGTCTAATATACCCTAATATTTATTACAAATTCACAAAATATATTATTTCTATTTAATTAATACACAATCTAAATTGCTTCATCTACTCTGCGCATCAGCCTTCACTCCCAAAAAAAAAAACTCAATTAATAAAAACCCGGCTTTTGAGATCCTACACCGGGTGAAATACACCGGGTAGATCTTTACCATTCATATACACACAAACACACACACAGCCACATTGGTGTGTGTAGATCAAGCGGTAAAAAATCACCCGGTGTAACCTTCACCGGGTGTAGGATAGATAAAACCTGTGAACCCCTCCATTGCTGTGTTGGCTCCCCAATCCTCATTTTCTCTCTCTTCAGTACCAGAGAGAGAGAGAGAGAAAGTATAAGAAGATATGATCCTAAGCCCAAAGATTCAATCTTTCGAGCTTTACATTCTTGTCCTAAATTAAAAAGACAATGAGCAAACCTCTCCAAAATCCAATCTTTGACGCGCTTTTCTGCGACGAGGAGGAGCGTTTCGATGACGACGATGAAGAAGAAGCGCGTGGCGATTTCAACGAGATTCGCGAAAATCCCATTGATTCTCTGTTCGAGCACGACCTTTTCTGGGAGGACGAAGAGATTACCACACTACTATCCAAAGAAAAAACACAGCCCGGTGTTGTAAATTCCGACACCCCTTTCAATACGTCGCGAAACGACGCCGTTTCTTGGGTTCTTCGGGTGGTCACGCGCCACGGGTTCGCCGCCGCCACCGCCGCTTTGGCCGTGAACTATTTCGACAGGTTTATTACAAGCATCTTCTTTCAGAGAGATAAGCCATGGATGGGTCAATTAGCAGCTGTGGCCTGTGTTTCTGTAGCTGCAAAAATGGAGGAGACCCAAGTTCCTCTCTTACTAGACCTTCAAGTACGATGATGTTTCTTTTTTTTCGATTCGATCCCTTTTCGTGAATTTTAATGTTTTTCCGAATTTTAATTTGATTTTTTTGTTTTTTAGGTAGAGGAATCGAAGTACGTGTTCGAAGGAAGAACGGTTCAAAGAATGGAGCTTTTGGTGCTTTCAACCCTCCAATGGAGAATGAATCTTGTGACTCCAATCTCTTTCGTTGACCACATTGTAAGAAGATTTGACTTGTTCACTAATCTGCATTTCGATTTTTTTCGGAGGTGCGAGCGTGTGCTTATCTCGATTCTCACCGGTACGTAGATCTCTAGCTATATAGCATCTTTGTTTTTTCCCGATGATTCTTAGTTTGATTGAACTCTAATTCCATCGGAACAAAAATTGCAGATTGTAGGCTTGTGCATTATATTCCTTCGGTTATTGCCGGTTCGATTATGAAATATGTTATCGGGGAGTTTGAGCATTTTGATGAATTGGGTTACCTAAATCAACTTATGAGTGCCCTTGGAACTACCGAGGTTTGCTTAATCTCGATTATATTTTAGAAATTAAGATGGGATTAAGAAGTAAAGAATCTTGATTATATGAATTTTATTATTACAGGAAAAAATCGACGATTGCTATAAACTAATAACGGATGTGATGGATCATGATGATGGTGATGATGATTACGGCTATAAGTTTCGCCACAAGCGTAAAAGCGGGACCTACGTCCCGAGCAGCCCGAGCGGAGTTGTGGATGCGTATTTCAGCTCGGATAGCTCGAACGACTCTTGGGAGTTTGCATCGTCGATGACACCATCATCATCATCATCATCGTTATGGCCCGAGCCTTTGTTTAAGAGGAGCAGAGCTCATTGATTCATTTGATTTTGGAATCGGTACTTCGTAATCGATCTTTTTTATATGTTTTTTATATTTTATTTTTTTGGGTTCGGATCATGATTAAGTGAAATTTTTGCGGTGTATAAAACTGCGTTTAATTGGCTTCGGATCATGATTAAGTGATTTTTTTGCGGTGGATAAACTGCGTTTAACTGGATTAACTTCTTTGATTATGGATGGAGAGTGAAATTAGTGGTGTTTCTTGATTGAGTAGCATACA